GATGAATTACCAGACACAGTCATTCAGTCTTTTTCCTGAAACTAAAACAAATGTTAGATTAAGATTCTGTGTTAGCTCACCAACAAATCAAGAGCTCTCAAACCCTCCAGAGAGCGATGGGAACATCAGAGTGTAACTGAGAGCCTGTGTAAAATGATATTTGTGCCTTATTAAAGCTCAGCTGCACGTTAAAAGTTAAAGAGAGTAAAGCTGTGAGTACGTCTGTGTTGACTGTGTGATGTTACTGGCTGCGACTGCACTCTGTGATCATTGGCACATGACTAACTGGCTTTGTGAATACCAAAGTCCCACACAAACCTTTGAAATTGCCCCTTATAAAGTTTAATGGATGATCAGCGCACGTGATTTACAGCTTTTGAGAGCATTGGTTCTTCACATGTTACAAAGAGCAGTCGACCTTCTTGTACAGTAGGTTTTCAAAATAAAAATGTCCTGCAAATCTTCAGAGGTCAACACAGTACTTTTACACTCTGTAATAAATAGCAAGCTTGGCTAATTTTACTCACTGGTCAAGCTCAGTTTTTCCTTTTTTAACTTAGTCAGCTCATCTCTGGTGAGGTAATCGAGTAGGCACTGGTACTTTCAGTATCAGGTTGACAAAGCTTATTATGAGATTGTGCTGTGTTATAATGCCTAAACGATTTCTGTACTTGAAGCGACTAAATCAGTAAGCCTAGTTGGAAAATCTGAGCACACACACAAAGGAACAGGCTGTTACACACACTGTAATTTATCTCCATCACATCAAGTAAGATTATGTAACCTGGATCTGATTAGACTTGGACTGCACTTGTTGGGGATTTTTCAAAAAAAGCTTGCATCACTGAGTTTCTTTTCCTTTGAACCGCTGCTCCAGAGTGTCTACATACTTGTCTGTACTGCATTACTCTGCTGATTCACTTGAGTATGTTGCCTCTCTCTGGTATTTGGTAATTGCAGTCTGAAGAAGAATGTGCCATGTCCTGACAGCGTTGTAGAAAACGATCCTGCTGCTCCATCGTTCCCTTTCTTTCCTTTGCTCTGTCACAGTCCCCCTCTCCTCACCTTTTTACAGGTGTGATAAGGTGTGTCTTTGTTATTTACATCCTGCACTAACAGGTCTATCTCTCTTTGCTTGGACAGGAGAAATCAGGGCACGTCTTGCCTTCTAGAGATGAATCTGTCTCAAAGTTTGACATGTGAGAATGAGTTTCTGTGCTGCTGCTTCTGTCTGTGACATTCAACATGTCCATAAATAAAAGATTGGGAACAATTGCTGCCTTAAAATGAAAATCATGAGGTAATTTTTCACATGGCTAGTGGAATAAGTTGTATAATTTTTTGTCCAGTAATTAAACCCTCTACAACGCGCTTGTTGTACCCCGTACTTTTTACCATACTGACTCTGAGAGACGAGACAGTCCAAGTAACTTCAAAACAGTGCTGATTTATTCCATGAACACAGGTAAAATTAACATTACACGCTCAGG